TGGGGTCGTCTGCTAGAGGCTTACGCACTTTTCCTATGCGAGTCACCTGTGTAACAAACTTGTCGAGCTTATTTCTCTGAAACAGAGCGTTTGACAATGAAAATGGTGATGGCTGAATATGTCCGGCTGAGAATGAGGCACCGTTCATGCTACACAATTTCCCCCTTATCTTTATTATTTCATAAAATACAGGCCAAGAAGTAGGCTCGTTCTCGCAGAACGTCCGAACGAGGACTCGGAGGCTGAAAAAACTGAGGGCAAGAAACCCTTAGCATACCGTGATTAGTCCTAATCAACTGTTCTGGAAACGCTATGTCGATTGATGGGCCCAGAAATTCCCTCTTTCTGATTTTAAATATATACTTGGCGGAGAATCTCTCCTCCGCTAGAGATGGATCTATTCCTTCAGGATCGCCTCAGTTTTTGCTAAATTAATCGTTGAAACTTTCCTCAATTCTTCCTCCACCCCGCGACGATGTTGAAGACAACTAACACCTCCGGTTGAGGTTGTATAATGACAGCGGAAAACGATGTGCGCGCGTTCTTCATTTCATATCTCCTCTTATGAGAATGGACTCTCGTCGTTCATTCTAGAATTCCATTCATGCGTTTCCTTTCCTCATTGGTCGATGTCAATGGTTGTGGAAGGACACCGGCGGAGAACCTTCTGACTAGCAAGCTAAGGATGCCGGACTCCGTGAAGAAAAAAGAACGAGTTGCGCCTAATACATCGTCAGCCATAATCCCGACATAAGAAAACAAACAGTGTTCAGACAAGCGATACGAAGCAAATTCCCGTAACAAACAAGGGCGAGAAGTCGTAGTTCAGTTCAACCGAAGTGGTCCTCAGGAAATCACCTATCAGGCAGGACGCAACGTGGTGCTAAGAGAATCTAGCCACGGCGGGCCGTACGGCTTAGCGGACGATTGGGAGGGAGTGGTTCACCCAACGATAAACTTTTTAAACGGTGCTGTCGTCCTGTCGCAGCATTGTTAATGAATGAACGTGTGTCTATCGCGTTGGGACAAATCATTCCAGAATGAAGAGCTCTTTTTTGAGTGCCGCCGCCCAGTGATGGTCTCGAAAAAGAGGATAAGGGAATCCATCCTTACAATGCCGAATCATGATCATAAGGTTCCGACATTCCATTAAGAACCTAATTTTATTAGTCTTCAACTAATTCATCCCCATCATCGTCTAGATGCGGATGCGCGGCCTCGCGATATTCGAAAAATCCTCCATCGGACATGCAATGATTGTTCCTTGAGATCGGCAATATGAGATCTCATCGAGAGAGCACATCATGTAGCAGCGTTTCTCCTAGGCGGACATGGTCATGGAATCTAATGTACCTTTCATACGCATAGTCGCGATGTTCTCCAATCCTTACATCCTCCACGAGGAAGTGTGGCACTCGGTCACGTACCGGTTGCCGTCCGAATTGCGGGTTGCTAAGCGGAAAACGACGCCGCACTCGGTGCAGATATCGGGCCGTATATCCGATTGAAGTTTGTCCGTTGAGTAATAAGTAGATTTTGATGTCATTCGTCAACATTTCTGAGTTTAGAAAATTTGCCGAAGTCTTCGAAGGTTGCTACCGACCGAATCCCGTTCCCGCAGTTGAGTTCTTTGATCTCGTTTTCCTCAAACTAAAAAAGCGTCTTTTGATTAACGGCCAGAGGAAATCTCGTGATACCCTTCGTCGACCGGAGGGTAGTATCGAAAATCGTTCGCAGATCTTCAAACTCACGGAACTACGTGATCCGTGTTCACGTAGTTCTACGCCCACAAACCACCTGAGTCCCTGACTCGGGAACCCCGGGGATTTTTTTGGAACGAAGTCGAGGTGAATGCCGCCTCTGGGCGATTTTTTCCTTGCGATTTAATGCTCCAAAGATATGCCGCTAGCGACACATCGCTCCGCCCCTGCCTTGTTGCTACGCCACCGTCTGAGGAGTGCTCAATCCTCAATCCTACCCGTGAGAGTATCATTGAGGTATCCACTTTGACTTCAGTTTCTTGGTGGTAGTTTCGAGACTGATGATCGAAGTCGGCGAGGATTGGAATCGCCACCCTATGTCAGCAGCATTGTGTAAGATCGACCGGGAACTTCAGACGAGAAACCAAATCTCTGCCTCGATGCAGTCAGAAGCACCTCGTGAGAGGAATGGTAAATTGATGAGCCGATGAGGGTTCTAGGATGGATGGCTCCGAGCCCTCGATGCGGAATCGGCATGGCCACGACGACGCCCTAAATGATATGACTCCGAGAAGACTCCGATTCTGAATGGCGAAAACTCTCCGGCTCCCCTGGGGATGGACTCTGCGCTGGAAATATACCGTATTTCCCATATTATAAGAGCATGCTCTTCTATTTTTCAATTCCTCAACAGCTCGTTCGCCTAGTAGAAGGTGCTCCTCTAATAGAAGGTACCTGTCTATGTATAATATGGCTATTCTCCATTCGGACTTCGAAGAGAATACCTACTTCTCGAGAGGGCATCCGTGGGATAGAAGACGCGGATTTTTCCTAGGGCTACGGATTTCTCGGATTATGGCTACCCACTTGGGGGTGCTTTTCTAACAGAGGGTGCTCTTTCATTTTTCGATCCCCCCATGGGTGCTGTTCCATTGGAGGGTGCTCTTATAATACAGGAAATACGGTATGCTGCATACTTAAGACTAATACCGTCTTCGCTCAGTTGAATGAGTCTTCGCGCTCTCTCTCTGAGGCGATTCCGGGCTGCTTCTTTCGCGTGGTCTTCGCACAGAATTTCGACTGTCCATGTAGCTCCGGTGATTCGGGAAAAGCTCTTCCGGACGTCCTCCTGAATGAACCCCGCCGTATATTGAACTCTCCCCGATAAATGGTCAATTAAAATTTCGGAAATTTCGGAAAAATTCCGGATACGCAGCTTGGACGTGGCCAGCATCCGAGGGTCGCGCCTCTCAGTTCAGAGCAGACGCTCGTCGGCAGAAACACAGCAATGTTGGGGACAACACAACAACAGAGAGAGCAGCGCGGCGGCTGCGTCCATGCTCAGGAAAACAAGATTCTAAGTGCGGCGGCTGGCTGTGGTGGTGCTCCTCAACCTCATTCGAATAGAGAGGGAGCATGGCGGCTGTCCGTTCTGTCCTTCGTGGTCTACAGAAAATCTCATCGCCCCGATTGCTTGCTGGAGGGGTTTGCGTACCCAGCAGAAACGCCATATACAATCCCCGATACATAGAACCGCTCGGGACCGATCGTGACCAACTGAAAGAGGTTCTAAGTTCCCCTGATGGTAATGCGCGAATCAGTTTGTTCTCACTCCGGAATGGATTATCGAGGACTTGATTCTCATTCCAAATCGGTGAACGCATGCTCGAGATTTGGAGATCTACTAGGTGACGACCTCAGAGCAATCCATCACCGAGCCGGACCGCGCGGAGCGGCAGGATCTCGAGCATCGATGTCAGATATTGCATTCATCCACCATCTCTATCTCTTACAGCTGAAGAACTTCAGTTCCGACCTGTGAAAGCCGCGATAAGTGATGCGTCGAATTCGATATTCTACGATCCGCTCCTCCTGAAGTTCATAAACATACTCATGCGGAAGGGTGACAAGAGTCACGCGACCAAGTTGGTTCACAAAGCTTTCTACTCAGTCAAGCTGATGAAAGACGGGAATGGATTGAACCCTCTCGACACGTTCACGCTCGCCATCCGGAACGCCACCCCGGTCCTAGAAACTGTTAAGCTCAAGCGAGGCGGTATCTTCTATCAGGTACGTAATGATACCAATGAAAGATTGAACATGAAACATAAACGAGTATGAAATTCTTGGGGCGTTCTCCGGAACTTCATGATCCGGACTGTATAGCGCAAATACTTCTTCATCCCCTTTGACTCGTAAAGTATATTTCCTGCAGGTTCCCGTTGCATTGAGTGCGGAACGAGCCCGTTTCATTGCGATGAACTGGATTATTGAGGCGGTCGGTGAGAGAGAAAAGCCCACTCGGTTCCACGATCAGCTAGCGAGGGAGCTTGTCGACGCTTCGAACAACGTCGGTCGAGTCATCAAACGAAAACAAGAAGCACATAAAGAGGCAGAAGCCAACAAAGCCTACGCGCATTATCGATATGCGTGATATAGCTATTTAAGGATTGTTCCGGAGATATCCTAGTCGTTGAATTCAAGCCACAATAATCAATAAAAACTCGAATTCCCGAACAGAGCACGGTAGAAGTGGAGAAGAGCGGAGCGGGGGAAGTCGGAGCCTGTGGAGACAGAAGGCGAAGGAAGATAGCTTTGACTGAAGAGAGAGGATATGAGCTGTCCAGCGAAGAGAGCTCTGCCATACGACCTCGACGGCCGACGGCGAGAAGTAGTCTCGCATTGTCAAGAACGACGGAAGCGTCCGGGAAAAAAAGCCGAGGAGCGAAGGGGCCGCAGGTAGAGAGCCTTGGTTTTGTCAGCATTTACAAGAATGCGGAGACCGCAGAGAGCTTTTCTGGAGTCGGAACACAGTCGAGGTGTTGTTTTCCCTGCCCTTTCTTGGAGGAAAGTAGTAAATTAATGATTATATTCCTGTCTTCGGGAGGAAATCGCGAAATCGCCAGGAAGAGACGGAAATCGCCGTTTCCGCGAATTCCGCGATCACCGCGAAAAAATCTCCAGCCCTGATCATGGGGTACAGGGAGGGAAAGTCGGTTCGAATCGCGGTGAGAATAAGGTCTCTACGGAGAAGACGTTGGCAAAATCCATCGCAAAATACCGGTATTCCTAATAGAAATACTGGTATTCCTATGGGGGATACCGGTATTTTGCTATCGCTGCCACGAGGTCTCGACTAGAATCCTTACTCTTACGGACGGCGATCTCGTTCTTAGGCGCCTGAGGGTGTTGCCGACCGCGATAGGGCGGATACCCCCGTCCTTTTTGCGAAGAGCCAAAAGGTTGGCACCATAGAAGGTGTCCAAGGCGCAGCCTGGTACCCTGCCAATAAGGACCATGGCACAAAATCTAGCCAATGCGTCAGCCAGAGGGCACGACCCGCTGTCCTTGCCGACAAGATCTTTGAGGTGTCGGGAGCGGATTCCAACCGGTCCTCCACTGGAACTGTTGGGGAAGCTTCCGACGGCTATGCGGACATCCGACTCAGAGACGACAGATTCATCAAGGAAGGCGACCGGACGAGGTGCTCGGAGATTAGCGTGTGGAATGGGTATGTCTGGATGTTTGAGATCGAGGCTACGTCTCGTCTCGAGATCAGACGGCGCCGCCACGTCGGTAGAGAGTAAGGTGCGGGCAGCGGCCGACACGTCCCCCTGAGCAACTTCGTGCTGGACAAGGCGGGCTGTACACCTTTACGTGGTGCTGTGGATGCAAGCGGAGCAGAGTGGAACGATCGAACCGGAAGACTCTCCTGGTAGAAGCAGTTGAGATTGCTGCGGATGAGAGGAGAGAGCGATCTTCCTCGGACCTTGAGGATGGGGATCGAGGGCACAGAGGGGGCGAAACTGTACCGAGAAGACCACGCAGGTAGATTGTCTGACGAGCACACGATGTTGAGTACCTCCGTGAGTTCAGCAGCCATCGTGGCTCTTACGCTGTGCGGGATGATGCAGATGAGCTTCGATGAATTACGATGAATATAAACGCGCCTAATGATCGAATCCAAAGGCTCGGCTAGGATCGGCGTTGAATGCCCCGGAGCGGCCGGAATAGGATCGGAAGTCGGAGCAGACGGGATCTGACTAGATGAGGCAGGGATGGCACCGGGGGCGGTGTGTACAGAGCGCAACGCCGGATTCTTACGACCAACATGAGTTTTCAGCCCATGGACCGAACGCGTCTCAAAAGAACACAATGAAGAACGAAATGAAGATATGGAAATAATCGACGGTGATGTAGTTTCAAGCTGCCGAGCAGGGTTGTTTTCCCCCTTCTCGGGCCTGTTACGAGGACTTGGGGAATTCGTGGCAACCATCTAGCGTGGAGGTGGTTTGCCGCCAGACGCCGGTATGGAACTATCCTTCACCACAGAGGAAACGTCGATCGACGGCATGTTTCGTGACTCCGATGCAGACCTGTTCAGGGATCGGTACATCCTTCGCGAAGGTGAGAATCTGTCTGTCGGTCTTCACTAGGGCGCCCAAGCGGGAATCTCGAGCCTTGACGCGCGAGGCCTCGATTGCTCCGGGAGTTCTGATTAATAATTATTGCCGATCTTATACATGCAAGGATCAGTGCTCTTTCCTCATCAACATGCGATGACAAAGAAACGGTAGCAGCGAGGATCGATATGGACCCTAATGGTTCCCCGCAATGGATAAAGACGCATCTTGTCTTCTCCTCATCCAATCGAGGTTCCGCGAACCATCGACGACAACCAGCTAGATTTTATATACACATTTTTACGCTCTCATATAGTTCATCTTTCCCTGTTATGGGTTCCCCTTATAGCTCCACTCAATGCTGACAACAAGGACATCTGCAAAAAATAATACAGCGGGCACAGAGTTCCTTCTTTGTGCTGCCGCGGCTCCCGATGGACGATTGTTTGCGCTTCACGGTTACAGACTCCGATGGCGAGGGTTCATCGTCGGAGTGTATTCGTGTCTCCGTCGGTGCATCGAGATACTGAGCGGCTCCATAGATCTCCAGAAAAATACGCCTGTGTTCTTTCAGAAGTGCGATTTTTCGTAAATCCTCGATATCACGATCAGTTCGCGTTGTCGTTGAGCGAATCCGAATCGTCGTCGTCGCTGCATAGGTCGGAATCTTCCACAGCAGAGTCTTCCACCTCAACCTCGGATTCCTCGTCCAGAGCCTCCCATTGAGGATGACTTTCAACGACAGGTTTCGCGGGCTTGACTTCGAACTTCAGGTCGACTTGCTTGTCGAAGTCCTGCGGAAGGAGTGATAGAGGGGATGAGAACCGTATGATGACCATATTACGAGGAGCTCCAGAAAGACTTCTCCGCAACCAGATACTCACCGTGACGTAGGAATCACTCTTGACGTGTAATGTCAAATGATAATTTCCGGGTTTCCGAGGCGCCGTGAATTTCAAGATGGCGTCCTCTTCGTCCACAAGATTGGTCATCAGGAAAGGAACTGTCATGAGCTGTTGCTGTTTTTTGTCAACGAGGTACAGCCACCAGAATTCCTGCTTATCGCTCGGGAAATACGGCGCGTGGACGGGATGAGAAATCTTCGGGATTTTATCCATGATCTTCTTTCTCTCCTTTTTGCCCTGATCGAAATGCAACGCCTCGTCGTCTGACCCGTCTTTCTCATCCTCCTTGTTTATCTGATCCTCGTCGCTGTGATTTCTAGCGTCGTCGTCGATGCCTTCGTCTTTTTCCGCGTCGTCTCCATGGTCATCGTGTTTCTTCCGCTCAGTCTTTATCCTCCATCTGCGCTGAGTGTCTCCAGTTTGGGCTTTGCCCCCGTCTTCGCCCTCTTCTTCTTGCGACGCTAGGCTTTCAACAACGTCTGTGCATTCGACACCGTTCTCTAGAGCACGATTCTCCTTGTCGGGTTCCGCGTCGTCCTCGCTCCCTTCTTCGGGATCTGCTCTACGGATTACCCGGAAGTTCGTTGGCTTCTTGGTCTGAAAGAAGAAATCAGAGAGAGCCTGTCAGAGGTGTTCGCCATCATCGAGAGAACGAATCGATGCAAGATCCCTGTAAGGAATATTGACGAAATTTTACGGCTCTATTCCTCGGCGGGGAGCGTCTCACCTTGGCCTTCTTCCTCCCACCAGCCTTCTTCTGAGGCTTTTTCATCCAGCTCGTGATTTTCGGTTTCTCCCCTTCCTTGTCATCGACGAGCTCTTCTTCCGACCGGTTGAGGACTTCCTCTGGTTTCCGTCGCCTCATCGTGACCGTCATCGTGACCAGAGAGTCAGCCGTGATGGTCTCAGGATCCTCGTCATCGATAACTTCAAGTTTGTATTTGATCTCGACCGAGGGCATCGATTCGAGACATTTGACTACGTTTTGATATTGGGCATCGTCCAAGAACCGTAACAAATCTCTGCGTTTCGTTTCCGTCAGCTGTCGCAGCTGATCGATGCTCTTGATATGACATTTTTTGTTAGTGAATAGACGGAGGTGCTCCTCTTTGATGTGCGGAATCTGGAGCAGAGGGTTACGGTTCACCCACAACGCTTGCACAAGCAGCTGGCTGAGCTTGATCGCGTTCTCTAAGGTTTCCAACTTGGGCATCCGTTGGATACGTCCACTGAGCGCCAGCATTACTAATTGAGACGTGCAGGACACGAACTCGCTCAGTAGGACAGGGCACTTCGTTATAATGTACCTCATGTCCTTGGCGGCGCTCTCGCTCAGAGGTAGCCGCATGAGGTGCGCATGAAGCAATGCTCTGGCCTTGATCGAATATTCGTAATTCAACGGAGCCTCGCGATTCTTCTCACCGAAATCTTCGATTTTCTTAATGAGTTGGGGAATTTCCTCGTTATCGCTCGGTCGCATTTTCATGTCGGGATTTTGTGACGACTCGAAATCCGTTGAAGCGGCCACTATCATCACCACTCGGCGAAGAGGCATCAGGGATGTTTTGTTGATAAAGTAGAAGTACAGTCGCGTCGTATCCAGAAGCACTTCGAGATCTTCGCCGTATTTTGCGGACCTGTACCACCACAGGCCCACTGCGGTCGGCAAACCGACCATGAAGACGAGCAAATAGGCCCCGACTACCCAGATAGAGTTTTCCTTTTCGACGATCCACGCGGGAAGCGCGATACCTGAGAGAGGAATTGATTTCAAAATCATGCACGATCTTAAATTTCTCTAAGAGCAAGCAGAGTTACTATCCGACTTCGAATGAAAGTTCTTCATGAACATGTACAATGAATGATGCGACAAACATTGAGACACTCACCGAAAGACATGGCCCCTGGACCATCAGGATCTCCGTAGGCCTCCCAGTTCTTTCGAGATTCTTCATCGCTCAAAGCTTTGTATGCTCTAGCTATTTCCCTGAACTCCGCCTCGTCACCAGTCTTCATATCTGGATGATTGATCGCCGCTTGCTTTCGATAAGCCTTCTTGATTTCGGAAGTTGACGCTCCGGGGTCGAGTTTGAGTATCTCGTAAGGATCCCATTTCTTCCAGGTGTCTTCCAGATGCGCAACCTGAATATGAATTGTAATATCGTGTAGTCGTTGTTTCCTCCGAGTCCGGCATAAATCGAAGCCTGAAGAGGATTCTGAATCCATGCCATCGATTCGGAAACCAGGAAACCTCTGAAGCTTCCGCGGAAAATTTCTAGTGAGACCAGCTGCGATCTATGATGTTTCACGCTCCCTCTTGACGAGGATCGAGAACGTTCTAAAACTTGGATTGGAGAGTCCCGAGATCAACCTTTCTCACGCGGGCTATTGGGCGATTGTGAGGGAGATATTTCAGGGCATACTCCCACTTTTGCGACGGAAGGCGAATACGGAGGTTCCGCAGGAAAAACTTCGGTTCGATTCCTCCAGAATTCTATCTCGGCATTTCATGATAACGAGTTATAATGATTAGCCTCCGGACATTGGACTGTCTGCTTGCTGAGAACCATTCACTTGATCACGAATGTGGCCAAGGACTCCGAGGCGCGGTCTCGATAATAATGTTTCGCGAGCACGCCCTGGCCGGACACTGCGGTGACCTCGACCGTTCTATTGATGATCGATCACGAGGTGGACGGAGAAATGCTGAAACTTCAGATTCTCGACACCAAAAATCTGACATGTTTAGCCTTCTCTCGAAGATGAAGACCCGAACCTCAATACCGTAAGTGGGAAGCTTTTCCATGACGCGAGTCATCCTCTGCGGGAAACGAGGCCAGTTGTCCTGATAGACCAAGCCCGAGATCGCTCGAGTGATCCTGGATCCTGCCGGAGGATGTCGGTCGACTCTCCTTGATACATCCGCGATCAAACAGGCTCCTGCTCGGACGTCCATTCTCCCCGAATATTCCCGCGCTCAGAACATGATGCGACGACGGACGTTCGTGTCTCGGGTCGCCCATCGATAAATCAATCATCCCACCGATCCAAATTAATGAGTCTTCAGCCATCGGAGACGAGGTAGTTGTTCCTCGGACCGTCAAGGAACTTTCGAAGTGTCGTCGTTTTTCAAAACCGAAGCGTCGATGGACAAGGACGGCGGGCAGAGCGGAATTAGTGCGTATCAGAACGGAAGACTTTATCAAAGACCTTCCCCTCAGCCGGAAGTCACTTTATGGACATGCTGATGTATTTTTTTCCACGGGACTTGACAGCTCCGCCCTTGGTATTGCGTTGGCCACGCTCGATAGATTGGCTGGGAAATTATTCAATTAGTGACCTACCCTGTAGGCGCATGCGAATATCGCAATCCAGCCGAGAACGATGAGAATTCCAAGGATGATATTTTTTGTCTTTGTCCTTGGAGAAATTTGTTTCTGCCGAGCGAATTTATCACGGCACGGAGAGCATTCGCATTTTCTTTTCTCTTCTTCCGGGTCCTCCTTGGTTTTCCGCGGCCACAGGTAGTAAGTGCAGGGAAGTACGACCATGGCGAGGAACGCCAGAAGGAACAAGAAAAACGTGCCCCCGTTTTCATCGTACTGAAATTTCGATGCCATCTTGTGCCGATACAACGCCCGTTCGTCCTCCTCAAAGCGTTTGAGGCTCGGTCCACGAAGAAGAAAACCCGGTCCTCTCAACTTCTAGCTAGTCCTCTTGGCTCCTACTACGACGACACCGAATGCCACTTTTGAGAGGTCCACAGTTCTGCCAGCACAACTCACCACTATGCCCTGATTGTTAGAGAGATTCCGGGATCCGGATCGCTTTTATTTCCTACCTCCATCGGAGAGAGAATACCGCGGTCCTCGACTGATGGCCTAGAGCCTTCGGGCTGGACCATATAGCCGAGGTTTAATGTCCCGGCTCCTGTTATTCGCATTGCTTCCGAGGACCGATCCAGAGAGCTAATGTACCCGAGTGCCGCTCGAGCTCGTCCACTACCCCGAGCATAACTCGTTGAAACTCATCAATCTAGATAGAGACGCTCAGGGTGCACCCCGAGATAATCGAGGCTGCTCGATTCTAACCCCATTCGAGTTCTTGGGCGCGGAGGCAGATGCGGACCAACTCCGGAATGTCATAGAGAGTCTAATGAACTATGACGAGGTGAGTGCAGCGCGTAAGAAAAACACTAGTCTTTGAAAGATCTCGCCTCCTATCTCCCCCCAATGACCCTTGTGTTAATTACCCTTGTGATTATAATATCCCATCGCAGGACGATGGGAGAAGCTCCGTTGCATACTGGGTCTGGTCGATCTAGTCTACGCGTATGCTTACACGAATCGGATTAATGAAGGCGACTTGAACTCTGAGAATGGTGAGTGATCGAGAATTCGATCCGCGAAAAGCTGCAGGATGGACTGTCACCAAACTCTCAGCTACCTTGAGCCATTTCGAGGAGTTCACATACAGGATGGCTGCGAAGATTTCCTGTATCCGATGAACTCTGGTGTTTCCTCTGATGAGGTCGTACGCCCTCAGCGAGGTTTGCTGGCAAGACGCGGCAGCCATCTTCAAGCGAGGACCCAAATACGTCTAAGCCTGTGCTGCAAATTCATTAGGCAATGGAACATGATGTTGACGGCCGGCTGCTTGAAGATCTGTATCTATACGTAGTTGATTATACTGTATCCGTATCTGTAACGGCGCTGCAAACAAGCTCAGTCGACTTCAAGACATCGCTCAGAGAATGTTGGGGACCGAGGTTGGAGGAAAAAGACATCGACTTGAACCTCATGGCACTAGAGCTTCAAATAAAACAGGTACATCGAACCATCCTGGCGCATTGATATAATACTCATTTAGGACTCCTATTGTGTTGAGATCATCATAGGGCCGATTCGCCGCGTATCGTGAATCGTGATTCGTGATTCCCGACGCATTGAAACATGTCCCGACGCATTGAAACAATGCAATCGCATGTCGAAAACCATGCCCTCCACGTCAGTGCGGCCCGAAAGGGACTTTAGTCTGTTGCGCCTTATCCTGGGCGAGAACCGCTGCTCGAGACTCGAAGCGGAAACACCAGACGACATTTTCATGCTTAGGAGAGCGTTCGAATCCGGGTGGTTGATTCCGAACGCTCAACCTCCAATAAGTTTGTTCTGTGTGATCTCGCAACAATTGTACTGCGGTCTTAATGATATCTGTTCACAAGTAAATAATCGTAAAGCCTTTGTATTCCGAACGTAGAGTCAGTCGCTCTTCCGTATACATCTTTGACGGCATGAATCGTCCATAAGAGCAAAGTCATCATGAATTTCGCGGATCACAAGGGATCCGAAAATGGCGGATCTTATCCGCGGATCCTGATCTTACGGATCTGCGGATCCGAGATCCGCGGATCTTGACTTTTACGGATCTTTGGTAACCCTAGCTCCAACACGAACAAGTGAACTACACGAAGTCGGTGGGAATGATATTATCAGATGTCAGATGATCTTCATTCCGAATTCGAGTCGGGGTCATCGAATCCCTCCAATCGTACTGAGAGCTCGGAAACGTACGCCTTCCCATTTTTTGTGCGGTCTCCTGAGTTGATCCATGGAGGGAATCCCTTGAAGCCAGCATAGCGTGCATGACATTCTCATTTACCGCCTCTGGACTGATTTCCCAGGTGTGAAACAATGTCTGCCCTCGATACGCCTTATCCTGAGCTTCTTCGCTCAACAGGCCGACCGGGAGTGGAGCCTCGCCCACGATCTGACAAACGTTGATCAGAAAGGGTACAACTGGATAAGGGGGGGTTCAAGCTGTACCCTTCGCGGACTGCATTGGGCATTGGATACCATCGATACAACTAGACAAACAGTTTGGCCGTCTCGATGCAGAAAACTTCTCGGGATCGATCTGCTCGGGACAATAACTCGAGGCGTGGAACATCGTCTTTAATCTGCGAACGAGCTCCTCGTTGATTCGAGTAATCCTGGAAGCAGTCGGAAAATCGGAGAAGAAGCTTCGAGACCTGTTCTCGACATTCGTACTTCCGAAGCCTCGTTTCACACAATCAACCTCCTATCCGAGTTCTTCGTCGAGCTCTCTCTGTATCTACGTATCTCTTGGCCTCGTTCATGGTGCGCGTCGCTTGTTCTCCCGGAATCCTCCATTTTTTCAGGGGCTGGTTGTGAATGAAATCAAGGCAAGGAGGGGCAAACATTGATAGGTGAAGCGCAGTCGGGACTCGAAATCACAAAGACCCGGGTCCGGAAATCGTGGACTCGGGTCCGGTTTTCCCGGATCCTATTTTTCTCGCTCAGATGCGCTTCAGGGAGGCCCTAGACCCGGAACCGTCCGCCCGGGTCCAATATCCTGCGTCCGGCTCTCGTTCCTCTGATTTTCCAATGATTAGCGGTTTTTTTTCATATGATTTTATGAGAGAAAGGGGAATCTGTGTTGGAGCGCCGATCCGTCATCCGTTACCTACCTAATTGAAGAGCAGGCGCAGCCCAAGCATATTATTGCCTCGTGTGGATCCGAGTGTCTACGCCGCATGCGGCGATCGCGTCAAAGCTCGTCATACTTTGTAATATACGCACCGGCCGTAAGGGTTTGTCTGTTTCGTTTAACTGGGCTGATGAAGTCGTACGCCCGCCCGATCCCACATTCTGAATGCCAGTCCCTAGTCAGATGGATTCCGCGCATTCCGAGCTCCTTCAGCTCTCCCCGATCTCAGAGACTTTGATTCCGCTCGCGGGTGGCTTCATATCCATCCGGGCTTCCAACATCGAAGATTCAAATTGCATCCTCGCGAGTTTTTTTCTTCTCCTCACTCAGTCAGGGACACCGTTCACCGTACTAACGATATGAAAAACGAAGTAATCACAATAAGGGTCATCCCTCATGCAACCAGTTTATTGTCGTCGATAATTAATTGCTCTCGATCTTCTCGTCTCTCGAACAATCTCGTGTCCAGAGTTTCAGACAGTCATGCCTTTACACATGGAGTGCCACCGGCCGGAATTTTCCGGTATCCCGGAAGAGCTGAGGGACGCCGCGCCCCTCAGTGGCACTCGAAGTCTTTCGTACTTTAACTTTAATGTATCAGGTTGGTCTTCGTTGTCGACGTCTCCTTCGTAAATCATGCTGCCTTTGCTGCTGCCGCCGCTGGTATCGCTCGCTTCCTTCATTGATTAGGTAGATCCTCGTTCCCCGTGCTCATTCTCCATTGCATGTATGAGATTTCCTTCCACACCTAACTTCGATCCAGCTAGGTGGCTTAATTCCGAAGAGCATCTTGTCTGGATTGGAGCCACAAGTCGACACGGTCTGAGGAAAGCTCCAACTCCAAAGAAAGCTTCAACTCGTCGTTTATTGTCTCCAGACGCAATTCACGCAGCCTCGTCCTAACAAACGTCCGAGGTCTGCCGTGCGCTTTCCCTCTTCGGGAAACCTTAGTTGGTGTTCTTGCAGGCAATGATAGCCTCTTCCTTGACGGCTGAGAGGACTGTGATGATCACAGTACCTTCACCTTTCTCGAACTCCTCGCGCATCTTCTTCGCCAGCTCCTCGTCGGCAGGAATGCGGAGATCATCACGGATTTCTCCTTTGTCGTCCATAAGGGAAACGAAGCCATCGTCGGAGATGTCGATGAGCTGCAAGGAACCGCATCCATGAGTCATTTGCCTTCACCAAGCGGTACACTCTGGTACGAGTATATGCTAGCACGCTTCCGGAACTCCATTCGTCGAAGTTCTAGCCGCGAAAGTATTGTGCGCTACCGGTTGAGGCTCAGAAGAGATTCCGTCTCTATTGATCCAGTCAGGGAGCCCTCGTTTTACCATCGTGATAGGAAGACCGACTCCGTCTCACAGAACAGAAGCCAGTGGCAAATGATGGCCAACTCGATTATAATCATCATTGTCATTGGGATTCACAATCAGAAGAACACTCACCTGGAAGTCGTTCCTGTTCACATTTGGTACATCAATGTTGTGCGTTGAGGGGCAAAGATCTTCATACTTTTTGGAGTTGAAGATATCGATGCCGACAAGGTGGACTTTGGCGTGACCGTGTTTGCCGGTCTTCGAAGTCGTCATCTCCACAATCTTGCAGGGGCGACTCTTGAGCATGACGAAACCGTTCTTGCGGAGGGCCGAGCATTGCATGGGGTAGGTTTCTGATGCCCCGGAAACAGCAGAATTGAAGTCGACCTCTTCACCCTCCATTTTCGACGGGATGAGATGTATTGCTGACTCCGACGAGTGAACAACGGTTTCTGCAAGAACAGCTTCGAATCAATCGAACAAATCAATCTTATTCGAGCGTGCTGTCTGTGTGGCGATGGTGGTTCAACGGTTCCCTCGCCCACGGGTGATCCAATCGGAAGCACAGAAAAGTTGCAGGATCATCGCTCTCCGAGTGTGTCTTACGGATTCCTCTCTTCTTTCTAACCCTATTCTTCTCTTCGGCGTAGGCTCTCTTCATCTCTCTTGCTCTCCCCCTCTAACTCCACCGGAGCATACTGACGAGCACGTTGCGAAAGCACCGTTCGAGTGGCGCGAAACACCGCAACACCAATACCGCTAGAGCTCGAGCCAGTGATTCGGGCAGCACTTCTGAATTCGTGGGAGGAGCTCCCCGACTACTCCCGCATAGTAGACGAGAAGTTTTGACGGACGAGCTCGCTATCTCTGTTCATCCACGAGCCAAGGTCTCTAGCTCTTCAGAGACTTCGGACCGGGTCCGACCCGAGTCCGCAGATGCGAAAGGGGTCCAAATAGTCCGCTACACGAGCCGCCACGGAACACATTAGATCGACACCGCGTCCGGGCGTGGTGAAAGCACTCAACAGGTCGGTTCGAAATTCCGACAAACACGACTTGCGCCACGAGCTGGAGGATCTTCGACCGGTTCCGCCCGAGATCGACACATTGCCACAAAGAAGACACCGAAAATGGCGTCATGCGCCCATACAAGATGCCAGCGACCGTATGTGGCCGGTCTCACCGGGAAAATTTGTTGCCGCAACTGATGAATGCATAAAAAAACAGATTGGCAACCATCATCATGAGCAACAACGGCCTCCCGTCTTGTAGCAGAAGGCTTCGTGTTGCTCGGCTTGAACAGAAACCTGCATCTCGGCGAAATCCAGATTGAATCGCTGGCACACACCTAACGACGTTTTGCAGAGATATTTCGACTGACATATAAGGAAAAAACGGCGCCTATCTATCTACACAACTACAATCCCGTATCACTTACGTGCGACACTGGTGCGAGCCAGTGGCGAAAAGGCTCTTCCGGAAGCCCGCGATTCAGGCCACGGTTTCGACTTCCGCCGGAGCGAGGTGGCGTCGTACGTTGGAATTCTCGTTGGGGAAAGATGTGCTTCTACCGGGCTCAGAGCTGAACTTACTCATCCGCCGTATCGATCTGTCGATCGCCACGAATCTGGGCATTATTTCTCGGCGTTTTATTGAGTTTCTTCTCTAGCCATCGAGCGTGGTCTTTGTTTACATCGCCGAGCATACGACAGCTCCCCCGTAGTGAAAACAAAATATTGATCTCTCGATCTGTAGTTCAGCGCTCGCATTATTCGAACCCACGGAGGCGAACTGACCTCTCGCTCGGAGCTCACTTCTTCAGAGACGATTTTCCTTCCGTGTTCAAGCCCTGTTGAAGAACCCGAGAATGGCCTCCGGTGGGGAAAGCTCAAAGGTAGCACGTTTTCATCACTAGTCCTCTCCAGCGATATCTCTCGAAAATGACGGAAAGATCACGAATCCATCGCGGTGTTCGTGGTTTGCTCCCCCTGCTTCCCTTGAGTTCCCGTGCTGCGTGGGACAGCTCCACAGCTGTGGGATGGTCCCAGCTGAGATTACCCCCATGTTCGATCATCTCGGACCTTCACTCAATTTTCCTCCCGCTCTTGCTGTAGGTGCCGGAAGATGCCGATCCATGGAAAGTTCCAGATTTCACAAAAGATGACAACCCGAGCGGAGTCGTATGTGAATCATCATTCGCCATGCTCTTCCCGAAATACCGTGAAAAGTATCTGAAAGAAGTCTGGCCCCTCGTGAAGAAGACTTTGGGAGGTTAGTGTTAAACAGTTCCGATATCGGTTCCGTGCGGGACGCAATCGACCCTCACAATATCGTTCGGCACGACGATCGTGCGCCTGACTGAGCTGAAAATACTCCAACCCGGTGACCGTCTCCTGAGTCTCGTTTTTAATCCCTTCAGAGCATGGAGTGGAAGCAGAGCTCGACGTGATAGAAGGCAGTATGATCGTCAAGACGACCAAGTGAGTTTTTGCCTTGCTCGGGTTCTCGCCGCCACAAGTACTTTCCCGGGGGAAGTTCCTGGAGTGCTCAACTGATGTCTGAAAGGGATGTCCTGTTTCCAGGCAAATGTGGGATCCGTACATAATCATTAAAGCTCGTGATCTGATCAAATTGCTGTCTCGGAGCGTTCCCTTCGAGCAGGCCGCGCGGATCCTCGAGGATGACATTGCTTGCGACATCATAAAGATCGGGGGAATGGTCCGGAGGAAAGATCGATTCGTCAAAAGACGACAGAGACTGGTCGGACCGAACGGCGCTACGCTGAAAGCGATGGAAATTCTCACAGATTGCTACGTACTCGTGCAGGGTAACACCGTATCGACGCTCGGACCGTACCGCGGTCTGAAACAAGTCCGGAAAATCGTTGAGGATTGCATGAATAACATACATCCCATCTATCACATCAAGACGATGATGATTAAGAGGGAGTTGGCGAAAGATCCTGAGCTTAAGGATGAAAATTGGGAACGCTTCCTGCCAAAACTCGTCAACAAAAACATTTCGAAGAGAAAACAGCCCAGGGTCAAACGAACGAAGGGAGAGTACAACCCGTTCCCCCCAGCCCCACCGAAATCGAAGGTGAGACCGAGTATACGCATATGCTCTAAGAGCGTTACTTCGCTTCGATGGATTCTAATATTCTATCTCCGGATTCTTTTCAGATCGATACCGAGCTCGAGACTGGGGAGTACTTCCTCAAAGAGGTCGATAAACGCAAACGTAAGCGGAAGGAACAAGCCTAGGGCTCGCGAATATCCGACTTTCCCCCAGGGAGATCCAGGGAAGCTGCAGCGCGGGCACGAATCGGGGGAGAATCGGAATATTTCAGTGCTCTTCCATGGCCATCGACGAACGGGATTGATACAGAAGTTCGCACAAATCTTCTGAGTTACACGGACCAATACGCTTAAAGCTGTTGCTTTCGAACCATATCTTCGAACTCTAAAAATATTGTCTAGAGTTACCGGACTCGACTTCGTTCTTCTTCCCCCTAGAGTCAGCCTCGATGCTGGAATCCCTCTAAGCTCCTACGGAGCTCGGGAGACCAGCTTCGAGCACCTCTTTGCTTATAGTCAGGTCAAGGGCATTTTCTGCCTCCGGCTCTGAAGATGGGTACCGGACGGGGACATCTCATTCCTACGAAAAGGGGTCAGGACTGTTTCTTATGTTTCCGTGCGTTTGAGCTCGACTATGATGTTGATTTGGCCGAATGCTTTGGTACAGCCAAGGTGCGACGATTGCATTCCAAAACAAATGAGATTCAATGACTAAGTTTCCGTAGCGGGAATAGGTTGTGTGAAGCTCTACTTTTTGAGCTGAATCTACTCTTTCTTGCTCTACTTTCTGAATGCTGTTCATAGTCGGGAAAATTTCGACAGCTCCCTCGATCTTCACAAAAGTTCAATTCAATCGGGTGCGACAGTCGAAAATCGGACGGAGTCTGAGAGGACCTATTTTGCTCATGCCGTCTATTCAGCATTTTTTCCATGATTTTGCGGGTCACAGCTCTCAGACGATCGATCGCTGACCCTGGGCAGATGGCAGTCTCACTATGACGACCTTCGCGCCTGATTCGAATGAGAATTCGTTTACGGATCCGTCATTCAATTCATCGAAGCCTTCAAACTCTGTAAATCCGAAAGCCTCGACCCACTCAGCAACAGGGACTCCGACATCAAACGCCAGAGCGTCTTCTCCATAGGCAGACTTCCTCACAGCCTAATCTCGTCCATGGAAAATCTTCTGCTGCCGGCTTAGCATGACATCAACTGAACCCTCGACGTTACTGGCTCCATCAGTTGATGCCGCCACGAAGTTATGTGTCCAAACACCCACGGTGCGGGGGCGTATGCCTTTTTGCGTCTCTATACGTCTCCGATCCGAAGATCGAGATATTGAGGTTACCTAACGACGATCTGCCCGAGAGAGCTGAGATTTCCGCAGGTAAAGCGTGGAGAGAGAGCCTGTGGACTCCGAGAATATCGCCAAGCAAACAAATAAATTAGAGACACAAGAGAAATGAGCACTCAGATCCGAGAGAATCACGTTTCCATCCATTGAACGAGTCATTTTTTGCGCGTGGTTTCTGCAGGTCGGTCCTCAGCGTTCCCGATCCTTGAGCCCACGCAGGTACTTCGTTCCTGTCCAATGCGATAGGGACGAAGAACATGGAGGTCGAGCGCAGTTGTTCCGAAATGGAATGCTCTTCTCGGAAGTTTTCCTTCACAGATTGTCTGATATCGGTCTGCTGATCCCCGAAAGACCTCCCGTCGACCAGGAACAAGACCATGCTTTACCGCATTTACCGAGTGGGCCTCTCGTGCAGCCCACTGAGTTCCATGTCATACTCCTCATTGGATGGAGCTGTGGTGGATGGAGTATCTGGCCAATTCGTGATGCTTCATGTGGGAAGATCCCGCCCTGGTCATGAACGACGGAACCTCGGCTCCCTGCCTTAAACGTCCGGGATCCTGGGTCTTGTTGAAAGCTCGTCCTGACGGGGCCCCGGCATGAGGTGCATGAGAAACGGAATCGGCCCGCATCCAGCTGAGACACCTCTCCTCGCGGGGCTGTGACTGCTGATAGTTTGATTCACATCTGCAGAAGGCACCGGAACAAAAGCTTTATCGATCCGCGTCGTTATAGGAATATGGCTACCGATCTCGGTCGCTATCCCGAAGACTGGCTAGGCTGACTCTGTTTTCCGAGTAGGTTCCAAGTTTCTCTAAGCGTTTGATGCGATCTTTGTGGATACACGGGGCACCTGAGCTTCTTGCGAGCTTGTCTCGTCACCTTTGAGAACTCTAAACAACATAGGGAAATACCCTTACTGGAGACCTTCCCGGATCTCGGACAATGAATTAAAAGCCGTCTCGGATGTGAGGTCTCTTTTTATTGATCAAATTATGAATTTGTCGTTCGCCGTGCATTCCGAGGATGACCCTGCAGCTACCGTATCAAGTATGAGTCCGAAATTTCGTCTCTATGCATCTCTCTGCCGTTTCGAGGCGTGAGACTATACTCGACAAGAATACGTAGGTCTCGCGCCAAGTTTGTATTCGAAATGCATCTTTTGGGATTCTCTATCTGATGACTCTCCGTCTGCGAAAGCTCCAGAAAGACCGAAAACTCGGTCTCAACAATCAAGACAGGCCTTCTTATCCCGTATGTGTGAAATATCCCATTACAATCAGAATGAGGTCACTTCCTCCATCGGAGCTCGCGTGATAATCGCTTAAAGTCTTCGGGAGACATGCTCGAGATGCGACGATCGGGGTCCTCGTAGGAGCACAGAGGAATTCAAAGATACGGGGGACTCCGAGGACTACGGAGAAGCAAGGGAAACGGAGAAATGTGTAGTGGGTTCACGGACAATGGGGAAGTTGTGAGAGAAGCAAGATCCTCTAATCGGACCCCGGCGGGTGGATATTTCACTTCAGTATATTTCACGCAGACTCAGGGAGATCCCTCCCGTCGATTGAATTACATTGGTACCGACTAGCTTCTAAACGGGAGAGGTTGGGCGAAGAGGGAGTTTAGCGTTGAAGGGAGATGAGTAGCGCCAATGACTGATTACGCGTCCCTGCACCCTCGGCGATGTCCCGACTTCTCCAATGATCCCGAAAACATTCCGTGTTTCTCTAGCTACTCGCCGCATATTGCGCTTGGTGTTCACTTCTCATCCCGACGATAATTGGTCATCTCCTCTATCCTCTTGTTGTACATTGAAAAATATCACTGAACAGCGCAATAATTTCCAATTTTTCTTCATGACGATAGACTCGTTCTCAGGTAGTGACAGCAGTTCGTTGCCAGGCATAATTTTAAATAGCTATATAATAAAGAATAAATTTTACTAATATTATCGATGCTTAGTAGGCCATCATTCGGGCATTGTATGATAGAACTTTGAGACCGGTGACAGGTCAAAATTCCTCTGAACTTTGGACGACTTCGACATGATGGTTTCTCTCGGAGTGCCCTGTGGTCGACACACAAACGTCATTCCAACAACTCATCCGACCCCCATTCTTTCACTTCTAGGAAGAAACGAATCCAGTAGTGAAGATCGGAATCGGACATTGGCGGGATAAATCGCATCCCTTGCTAGCTTGATGGGATTGGCTGCGAAATCTGTTCCATTCTTGAGGGTCACTCGCTGACCTATTCTCTCGACGATCCCACCGATGTAGTCGGCAATCTTCTCCAGTGTTTCTCTACGCTTTCCTCATCAACTCTTTCAAATTCCAATAAATAATTGATAAATGTATCTGGCTAATTGGCTAATCAGGTCTTCCCGCTCTCTCGACATTCCTGACATCAAGTTGATCTCGGAGTGCCGTCTACTATGTAGTTCGCTGCTGCCACCGATACCGTTTTGACCGGTTAGAAACCCGTCGAAGGGTAATTTCGCTGCTGAGCTCTGTTTGAAGAACTAGGCTCGGATTGGGACAGTGAACATGTGATCGAACAATCCCGCATCACAGATCATATATATTAGCACAATTCCGTTCTGTCTACAGCTGAACTTGTCCCCTGACTTCCAAAGGGTGACTTGTCCGATTCTCGCCGCGAGTTTCGTCCAAACTTCCTTGAGGGCACCGTTTAGATTCGATCCTGACTCGCAGCGGTCGCAGCGTACGGTAGGTTCAGATAGTAGTAAGGCAAGTATCCCTCAGCGTTCGTCATTTGCGCTTGGTAGTCGTAGTACGAAGACGGCTGGGCAGCAGCGGCGGCTGCGAGAGCTGTAACGATGAATTTTTAATCCATTGAGATTGAGACCCATCAAAACGGAGTCGGCATCGGATTTCACGAGACCCCTACTTCGATTCGGAGTTGAATTCGAAAGCTAATCATTGGGTCTACTCACCGTTCGCAGAGGTCGCTTGGGCCGCTGTCGCCGCGGCGTTTTGAGGAGGCGCTGTCGGAACCGCTGGGGGTGTCTGGAGCAAGGCCGCGGCTTGAGCCGGAGTCAACCCGGCGGCGGGGTTCGCGGCAGCTGCTGCAGCTAGATAGGGCTGGTACAAGTATGGATTGACCCTGGAAGAATTTTCCGGATGTCATAAGTTGAATTTTTCACGCTTGAAGTTTTCGCGTTCCGGGCGAGAATCACTGGGCCCTAATTTACGCGAGCCGCCCCGACAAATTCGGGAACGGTGGGGCGTCTCTTTCCGCCCTCGAGTATCACGCGCGCAAAGTGTTCGATCAATTTTTCAATCGTAAGCCCGCACCGAAGACGCGGATCCGGATCATGGCTCTCCGGCCGGCCCAGCGTGTGGAGGTGCGCTGGAATGGCTCTCCCCATCGGACCCTTAATGGAGAGTTCCAGGATCAAACGACGCTGGCGCCGCGCCGGCGAATTCGCGCCTGAGACGACTTCGTGACTTTTGCAGTGGAAGCCCAGAGCGCTCGGGAATCTGTTGTAGGGCGAGACTCCCCACGGTTCGGCGTGAGGAAAGCTCACGTGCGAGCTATCGGAGAAGACCTCGAAGTTTCCTCACCCGGCGGCTGTGTTGTACTGTTGAGCTGCTGCTGCTGCCTGCAATAGGGCTGCTGGATATGCAGAGGCCGCACGCAAGGCAGCTGTTGTTGGACATATGGGGAAGCCGGTGAACAAGTCTGTGATGAGGCCTGAAATGGGTGAGGCTACCGGAATAATAGAAAAGCTTATCATTGAAGATTCATTAGCGGAGAAGATTATCGATCGTAGGATCCAGCCGGGATTCCCAATCATATATCAAGAAACTCCGAGTTTTGAGAGAGCAAGATTCCGTCTGCAAAACTGGATTTCCGTGCTCAGGACAAAGTTTTCAATAGGGAGGAGAATCCTCACCATTCAGCTGTTGAACGCTTGCTCGCGGCTTAGCTCCGAGATAAGCGAGATTAACGTTCGCCTTTCTTCCGTCGATAATGGGGTTGGGTTCCTTAACAGCTCGCTCCGCGGCTTCGCGATCAGCCATGGTCACCTGCGGATAATCGAGTGAGCTCAAATAGGCGACCTCGGAAACGACTCGGATTAAGGAGAGGTCCGAATGACAATCATCCCGTCTGCCCAATGGTCAAGTTCACGATCTGGGGACATTTCGACGATCAGAATGAAATCAAGAGATGGCATCAGCAGTCGGCGAGGAGACGGCGGCTGGGGGAAATTCTCTCATCTGCGTAAAACGGGTCAGAATCCGAGTCGTGTCAAAAAATCGACCCAACAGATCGCGACGATATGGTCGCTAAGGAAACATGCAACATAAATCTTTCCCTTCGTCTCTCTGAGATCGGAGAGCTCTCTCGAGGAGAGGCTCCGTTTTCGTGCTCTCTTCTCCATTCCGCCTGATCGAAAAACGGTCTTCCATACGGGAATGTCTTCCTACTATTTTCACGATTATGTCTTGAAACTCGTCTCTCTCTTCCCCCGTTACCTCGATTAGGGGGATTCCCAATCTGTCTTGAAACCGAGCTCTGGAAGCAGAGGATTTAACCTCAATGATGATGCTCATCTGAAATTTTTCCGGGGAAATTCCCCCGATCGATGGCACTGTCTCTCAGGCTTTCTCTCGACGACTCGATATCACCAATCATACTTATCACTTATAGTCTCTCCCATTTGCAGTCTTTTATTCGCGCATTGTTTCATAGAATCTGCGGCTGACAATCCGAAGGTTTACCGAGTACCGAATTCAAGGCGACAGATTGATGATTTGTCTTTGGATGTTTTCGGCCTCCGCATGACTTATTGTGGCAAAAAATAAGCCGCGTAAAAGGTTATCATTATGTCTGAGATGTTCCCCCGCTGAAAACTCGGGGTCTTCTTCGTTCTATTCCATCCTCGGTTGCGGCGAACTTCCGTGGTCCAGTCTCGAAGGGAATCGCCCACGGGAGGGATCTGTCTTCTCGATTCTCCAGCAGAGCTTTCAACAGCCGCGCAGCGCTTCTAACTCCCTGGTTTGGGCTTCGCCCGAAAGGTTCGCGTGCTCAGCCGTCCCGAGCCGGTTCTCCAGAAATAGCCCAACTGGTTGTTGACTTCTAGCAGCTATGCTCGTTCCTCTACGCGCTGCTCTATCTCGCCAGAGACTCGTACCCGTATATCTAACCCTAGTCGTTTCTAACAAGGGAAAACCGCTTCTGCCCCAATGCTAGGCCGGGCCGTTTCGACATTCGCTCTTCAATCCGCGTTGAGTTTTTGGGCGGGTTCTCTGCTTTTAACGTTCGTCGAGCTCTCCGCGATCAGGGACCGAGTCTTCGCTTTCCGGTTCGCTCAACTGCCGGAATCAGAGATCTCCGCAGTGGTGACTGATGAATAGTCCCAGAGGAAGCCGAGCTTCTCAGTCAATCTTTTTCCAGAAGCTTTTTCTCGCGCTGATCTTCCGGAGAGGAGGGAGCTCAGAACGATGATGTCGTCCATCGAGGAAGCTCGATTCGGGCATAGCCCTTGAATCGAACTACAACAGCCTATCAAATGCGCCTATATCAATCGATGGAGTCGTTCGAGGAGAACAGAGGCGGAAGCTTCGGAGGGATGTCGGAGTCGATTGTAGATACCATGATTTCCCATCCTCAATCGCGAAGCAAGTTCGTGGTATGAAATTCCCGGGATTGAGTGGGCTAGTCCGCCAAGGCAAGTCTCGAAACAAGGTCGGAGACAAGGGACGGTCGGCGTGGCGAGTTATCTAACGTTGCTCTCTGAAGCAATCACTCCAGCCTCTACAGACGGCGAGATTGGAGCAGAGAGGAACATTAACTTGATTCGATTTCTCCCGTGGGGGATTCACAGGTGTGTTTGTGTACGCACGCGCTCTCGATGATAGTGTGAGATCTTCAGAGAGCACGAGCATGGAGTCAAAGTGACTCTCCGCGAGGGGGGCGAACCCATCCCCGACGACTGATACCTTGGCAGGGGCGCGGAGTTCGAAGACAGCATCGAGTACCTTTTGCCCTCCCTTCTGAATCCAAAAATCCTCATCCAATACTTGTGAAATTAGTGGAACCTTATTTTATTCTTGAGCACAGGGTCGAATTAAGATAGCGCCGATTTACTCGCAGTGGCCTGGCGTCGCATCGATAGCCGTGACGACTTGGTGAAAGCAATTACGAAGGATTCGATCGAACTCGAAGCCGTTCACGCTCTGACAACTGAATACAACTGATCAGATTAGATTCACAGTGGAATTCTCGCTCAGTTGAGGTAGAGCCGTACCATTGGTGCCTGCACGCGTCGAACGTGAGCGGTAGCGCTCATCACGTGACTGCTTGTCACGGCACTCGCTCGATCGAAGTTATCGACCTTCTTTTCTTCCGAGTCAGACAGAAGACAGAGAGAAAAAAAACACCAATCACTGCACATCAAACTTCACCAACTTTCACATACCGTGACGACTTCGGCGGTAAGTTCGCCTCTCGAGCGACTCAACTCTGAACGTGGTTGGTTCGTTAACAGTGGCGTTCGTCAATTCCTTCTGAAAGATCTCGACTTTGAGTATTAGACCGCCCCAATTGAGCTTCACTCAAGTCAAACTACGAACTCAACGAACGACTCCAGCACACGCTCCATTATTAGCAACACTCAAATCAGCAAAAATGATCGAACAAAACCAAGAAACCAGAGGAAAACAACAACACGACTTTTCAGGAACTCTAAACACAACTTCAGAGACCAGCTTTCGACTTTTCAATTCAATTCTCCGACCCGGAAGCCCTCCGGGGCGATCAATGAGGATCCCGTCGACTCTCATGTTCCAGGTCGGCTGCGTGTTTCGTACACATAGATCCCTGAGTTCTCGGCTTCGCTGCCTATGGGAGCTAGGTGTGGTCTCTGAATCATGGTTTCGTGGTGATTTCGGGGTTTCACGGGCGGCTGGGAAAACTGAATGATATTCTCATCCTCATCAGTCCCCTGCGTTGTGATTCGAGTCTAGAACGAGATCATCTCCGTCGCGTGGGAGTTCGTTTGAGACGTGTCGCATATTAAGTTCGAGCTAAATCAAGTCGATGCGTCAAGTCAACGGAATCAATCCGACTACAATCGTTCGTTTCCGAGAGCGAACGAGCAACCTATCATCTAGCAGCGGTGGCGCCTATTGGAGGAACGACGAGACACCCACATGTGAATTTGCTTCACGCATCAAAGCTTTCCGTGTGCACGGAGTTTTCAGCACCATAGAAGGCGTCGTTGAGTGTTGAACGTATCGCAGAAGGACGTTCTCCCTGTTCGGAAGCATAGCGTCGCCCGAAGTCGTTCCTCAGGCTCGAATTTCGACGAAAAGGCAGGAATCTCGTAGAACTTCGTATGAGCTCCCTTTCCCAAGGGGTAGTTGAGCAGATCAAATCTTGCCGATTTCTCACTCTTCATCGAACGGGAGCCGAATCGAGGATTTCGTGTCAGTCCTTTCAGCATCCATCACATGGAAAGCGATGGATTGATGCAGCCAGCCTGGAAAAACGTTTCCCGGCCCACGCTGTGCTTCCACGACCGTAGACGGTTCAATGGGTCGATATTCCTCCCCTGACCACCTCGAGTGTCGTTACAACTCGTAACCATTTTAGCTCAGCCCAGAACTCGGGCGTCCCACGCTCCGATTTTCTCCCATTTTGTCGCCGAGCTACTCTCGAATACACGCGTAGTGAGTATGCCCTATCTGAACCGCTCGTTCCCGCTCGCAGACTGATGACGCTTTTTTGTGCATCCGCCGACGACCAAGGTGACTCACTCAGAGCTGGTTATAAGCCTCAAGTAGCAGCCGTTTCCTAGTCTTTGGATAGGTATCCGCAGTCAGGACAGCAGAAAAGCATGTGCGCAACATGTGCTATGGTTCTCTCAACTCCCGTTAGCCAGTCAGGTGCTATCGGGTCGGACGGACGTTCGCTCGTTCGTTCGGTCTCGCTCTCAATGGATATTCCTCTCATCGTTCAAGCGCCGGCCGGCCGTCGCGTCGCCAGAACTCAACTTGCTCGGCAGAAGGACCGACCACGTGTTCTGTTCTCATAGATGCGTCCAGCATCATAAGAGCATGCGACGAAGCGTCTCACAACGATTCATCTCTAGACTCGAACCATTTGTCCAGGGCCATTAGGCATTCGTACGCGGAAGCGACCGCAGAAGCTGCCCCCTCAGACACGGCGACCGCGTTCCGCTGTAGGACCCGCGCTCAGGGGCATTCGACGCCGTCGGGGCCGCCGAAGGCAGACCCTCCACCCAAGGAAATAAGAGAAACCTCAAAGACCATCTGATGCTTATTCTGGTGGCCCTGGTAAATTCCTCGATTGTTGAGCGAAATCTATGTCAAATCTGGGACCTTAGTTCAGAGGATGGTCTCCAATTCTCGACGTCCGCCGACTCGTAGACTCCACTTCCACTAGGAAGATCGTCAAGGGAAATGGTGGTGTCAGGGCTCTCCTGCTTAGACTTCTGTAGAGCTTCACCTTGGCCGCGAGTGTCAGTCGAAACTGTCTCGAGAAAAAAATCGCACAAAAGTCCACAGCTGCCCGGATTCTTGTCCCCGCAATCGCCATGAATCACGTATCCCTACGGGCTCTGTGCATTTTGGCCTCTGCGCCATTTCAGGTCGAAATTCCGATCCATACGCGTGCCGCTGTGGGTGAATTTCCGCTCAACAGGTCCCATTACCGCGAGTGCAATAATGAATTCCACGAATTATTCATTTGTAGGTCCTCCATGACTTTAATCAGAGGACGGGGAAGCCGAGACGGACTTGAGATCCGCAAAGCGGGGCTATATTTTCTTTTCTCACTGACAGTCGCCCGGAGCTTCCGCATCGCTGCTTGGTTTGTTGGTGGGCTGGTGATTTGCTGTGATGGAGAAGAGCAGAACCAGTTTCTCCAGCGTCTCCAGGTAACGGGTGTTGCATGGGATTGTATGTAAATAGATTTCTCTCCTTTGTTTCTGTCCGTCTGAGATGGGGAGCAACCGGTAGGCTGACTGGCAAACCAGTCGACCGACCGGCCGGCTGGCTGGTCGCTTGATTGACTTATTCCATCGCGCAGCTTCCTAACATATCCGAGCGGCCCCAGAGACGCCACAGAGGCCCGGGGTCGAGATTCTTGAGCTCTGCCTGCTGACTGGCTGAGTCAGAATCGCAGCCGCGGCCTTTTTCCGCGACAACGCTCTGACTCGTTATCAGCAGAATGTATCTCGTCGTGGAGCTTGCCACGTTGAAATCTAGTTTGCACATGTGTTCTCCGTCGAACCGGACGAGCTATCGAACGATGAGCGAGATGGGGCTTGCAGGTCAGGTTCGAAGGGAAGTACAAATTTCAGAATCGGACCCGATGAGAACGTGCTCCAGAGAGTTCCGATGCCATGGCGCGCTGCTAGGAAGTGAGCGCCGACCACCCATTTTCCGGGAACGATTTTCCATTACGAATATGTGATTGTTTACGCCGAGTCAGAGAGCTCCCGAAGCGAATGGGTTTTCCGAGCCCGGGTCCCGGACCTTTCTTTCGGACGGCCACAAAGATCTGAGGAATGGGTGAATCGAGCGGAGCACATTACCCTTCGAACGATGTGAGCAGCGAGAAACCGAGAAAAAAGCACGAGAAAACGAAAGGAAGCAAAAAATAGGAGGACGCCAATACTAGTCTAGCCATCTCCGATCCGATGATCATGGAAGCGGCCAGCGATTCCATGAACTGACAAATCCTAGTCTATCTATGAAGTTCCGGCTGGACGAGGTGCTCTCCCCGTTCCACGACTTCGATTCAACCACTTCGTTCACACGGAACGCTTCACTCTCGAGACCTTCTCTTCCCTCTAGACCTCAAGGGAAAACTCTAGTGAAGTTTAGTTGAGTGCGGAACAGCAATATCGAGAAGTCCATCCACCATAATCCCACCGCAACCAGGCCTCAACGCTGCTGGGTTAAGGTGCTCAACTTCAGATCACCAGATCTAGGAGAAAATTTAGGGATACACTTACGAATCCGTAGCCTCTCGATTTGCCCGTCTGCCGATCGGTGATGACGACCGCTTCTTCGATGTCTCCGAAGACCTCGAAGAACTGCCGAAGACTTTTGTCGGTGGTATGGTAAGGCAGACCACCGACGAAAATCTTCGTAAACGTCGTGTCCTTCTGCAAGATGTCGGCTTGCATCGTGTCTCGGGAGTCCGGAGTCACAGTCACAAATCTGCAGAACAGAATCCCAGATTCTGAACCCAAGGTATCCCGCCGTAGAGTGGATGAGGATACGCGCACTTCGACCTGTTGCTCGCGAAGTTCGGCACTTTAAAGCGAAGGTTTGAACTGAGGACGTCGTGTCGCAGAACCCGCTCGTCACGGGATCCTACGAGACGAGAGAACGCTTGACCCTGTACGAACGGCTCAAAGAATGTAGTAGTCTGTTCAGTGAGCTAGCTAGCTTGTCGCCGGTGAACTCTAAGTAGGCTCCGCTGTTCTACAGTGGCGGATTGTGCGCTCTGAGACTACAGGCCGCGCTGCAGGCCGGGCGAATGCGCCGCACCACAGGAGAGGGTGGTCATGATGGAAAGAGGCAAGAGTCTGGGGTAAGATTGAACTCGGGGCCTCGGTTCCGAAACACTGGAATATCGTGCGGATCACCCGAATATTCGGCTGTTGATTTTTTTCCTCTTCATCTCCGTCCTTGGCGAAGATGAAGGGGACGTATTACCGGGAGAAGTTTATTTGCCCTGTCGGGTCCAGGAAACTCATCGAACTGCTTCATCCGACGGGGGCACAAGGTGGGATTCCGCTCCAAGACCGGAGTCAAACTTTGCCCCTGTAAATTGTGGATGCCTCTGGAAACCGTAGCACTCCCCAGAGACCTCGGCACAACCCATTCGGAGACACCGCCGAGTGGCACGCTGACGATACTGATCCACCCGCCATCTATCCCCATCCCAATGAGGAGGCTCCAAGAATTCAGTTCCACTTTTTCACCTTGGACATATATTTGCGTAAGTCGGCTCCGGGGAAAGTTGGCGATCGGGAGCTGTCAGATCAGCGGCGGAGATTTCTTCGGCCACTCTGCCAAATGTTTCGACCATCTTCGGCACGCCCTTGAAGTCGACGCCGACGGAGCGAGAAACGGGTAGAGTGAGATAGAGTCGATTAACAGCTGCGCGGTAAACACCAGATAGTGTTCCTCCGGGTACTCCTGCTCGAATATTTCCGATCGGTCGTTTTCGGTCTCCCGAACTCCCGAGGACCGGTATTCAGTCTCGATGCTCATGGTCAGCTGATAGTACAATACCGACTGCAAGCCCCTGGAAACGAGAGTTTGGGGCCCGACACAGAGCACAGCTCCCTGAATGACGTACGCGCCCACTCCAGACCTCGGACGTGCGGTTCCGAGTCCCGCAACGTAGCCAGCGCTCGTAGCTTATACTCGAGCCGATAGCGAACAGGTCCACTGAGTGAACCTCGTAGATCTCATACAGAGAGTCGAATTATCGAGTAGGTATCCACCCCGTCCGTCCGTGAAGCGATGCACTGACTCAAACTCTAGGGGAAAAATGGCAGTCAGAATCGAAAACCCTTCAGAAAGCATGGACCGATATCCAGAGATCCGCGGGGCTCGAGCTGCCCGCGAGTCACCGGTTCTCCTCCCTCCGGCATCAGCTGGCCAACAGCCAGAGTTTGGAGGCGAATAAGTTTCCCTTTCTAGAAGTTCATCACCTCCGGATCCCTAAATGTGACTCTTGAGCTCGAGTTTCATCATAGACCCCAACGAATTTATTTCGAATCGGCGGAAGCGAGTTCCCGCATCCCGTAGCGCGTCGAGTCTCCTCATCTGGTCCCCGATAGCCATGAAGGATGACAATGTTCAGATCTTTATCCAAAATGATCCCGAAAAGCTCAGCGGGACAAATGTTGATTGTACCCACTTTATTAGTTTCGTGTAAATGTGTAGATGGATACTGTGCCTTCACCGTGAGGTAAGCGCCGCGACACTCTGTGAAAACCGCCTGGGGAACTATTCCGTGGAGGGTTGGTCGAGGGAGGGAACTGAATAACTTTCTGCAAGAGTCCTGCAATCTAAGCATGTTCCTGAACGTTCCTGGGTATGTTCGTCATCGGAAAGAGCGTCCGCCTACGAAAATGTAGCGTGGTTGGTGAAAATACCTGTGCCGTACATCTCCGTGCGACTCTATGTGACGGTTGAAGCCACTCCGGGGAATCGAGGTCCTGTCACGACTCACCATCGACTCGATAGGAACCGTGTTAGGCAGTAACTTATTGAATCGCGAGAGATCGCCCTGAACTCTGTGTGATGGCAAGCTCTACGAAATAATTCGCCTTAATCCAGGGCCAAGTTGATGTCTATCAATTAGGATCCCGAGTTTTTTAATCCATGAGATCCACGCGGAATCCGGAGCTTCGCTGCGCAAATCTCAGCTTCGCTTCGGGTGTGCCTAGCGACGATGTCACCCCGTCGGGAGTTGACGACTCCGCAACGGACCTGCGACCGGTGTGGGTTCTTTGCATTTCGAATTCCAGTTGGGGGAAGAAGAAAGGAGCGAAGGCTCATCCAGCTCCTCTGGTAACCATATAATTCGTAGCCAGGACCGTCGGAAAAAAAATGAGCTCGCCCGATGTCCCTCAAAGTCACAGGGAAGATCATCGGTATCATTTCTCTCTCTCTCCACCAAGAACAGAAAAGAAATCATTCGAGTTTGCCTCCTGTGCCAAACAAGTACAAGATCTGCCGGGAACCTGGTCGACCAACGATTCTTCGGCATCTCCCTAACCCTGTGGGCGATTCCCGTTTCGGATACTAGACTACAAGCCTTGAGTGTAGTCGAAAGTCAGAAACCCGCCGGCGGCTTTTTCTGCTTACCACCGCGTCTGCTCTCCATCGCGTCTGCTAGAATTTCGCTCTCGCGGGCTCCGAAAACTTTGAAGATAACGGAGACCTCAGTCTGGCTCAGCTCACATTCAACACCGTATGCTCACGGAAATATCGTCCTGGACTTATCCTGTAAATTGTTCGAGCAATGCTGGAGCCCGCCATATGTCTTCAAATTTGAATTTTGGCGCCGTCTAATTGACCACGCCTAAGTGCGATGGTGGCCGGTGGCGGACACCGGACATGACGTCAAACGTGGCTGAAGTAGTTTGTTGTTGATATGTTTATTATGGTGGTCGGTGGTGAGACGGTTAACAGGGTCTAGACCGTGGCTCGAGTAAGTCTAACCAGAGCTACTTTTCGAGAAGTCCCCGCCGAAGGCGTCAAACTCTCTGTTGGAGCGGACGCAACGACGAGCCGCCGCTGCCGTTTCTGCTGCCACCGCCGCCACTCGAGCTGCAGAAATAACGTCGTCTAACGAGCAGCCAAGCAGCCAGCCTGCCCGACGACGTACTGACTGACTGCTACGATCATCAAGCAACAAACAGCGGTAGCAGCCACCCTTAGCGAATCATCGGAGTTTCGAACAAAGAAAACATACCACACCGACTGAGTCATTCGAACACGCTCGCGTTCTCCGACTTCTGTCAGATCGGGAGTTCGTACAGTTCTTCAAGAACAGACGAAGATCAGTTCCGTCTTAATTCGTGAGCGGCACCTGCATCCCAGGCAGCTGCTGTTGCGGGTGATCAACAGAGTGTTATGAGTCTGTTCTGGTGAATCAGTGACTGGTCGAGGATCTTCTCCGCGTCCGTAGCTTGTCGGGGCTTCACGGCTCTAGAAGCTGGCGGCATCTGCTCTTCCGCTCGGTGGACCGCCAGAGTGTCGCGAGTGAGGCCGAGGGAACATCGGTTGTAGTTGCGGCATCAGCGAACGATCTCCAGAGATCGTCGTCGACGTCGTTGCTGCCGTCATTGTTGTTATTGTCGTTAGTGTTGTTCGTCAAGATCATCGTCGCTGAGTCGGTGGCTCGACCGTTCTGGCTCGAACAGTCGAACTACGATCTCTTCACTTGCGTCGGCATAATAGATTTATCGTGCATTCGTTTCGGAGCTGTTTCTGCCAGGGACGTAGCTTTCCACAGTGAGTTTTTTTGTGCCGCTGTGACTTATAGTTAGCGACCGATTCGACTGGCTGTGCGTGTGAGTGTGTTATTCCTCGGCGTTCGATTATTTTTAATCATCATCATCAACACCGTAGTGAGCAAGCAACAACAGCAGCAGCAGCAAAAACCACGAGCCTGCAAATCGAACTCCTGTGAATCTGCACTACTATCGACACGACTTCCGAGAGGAGGAAATATCGCAATCCGGTCCGACATCTCGCTTTGTCTGTGATTGAGGAAAAGTCGAGATACTGGATCCTAACACACAACCGTGAAAATGAATCGGGAGTACGATCATCTGTTCAAACTCCTCATCATCGGAGACAGTGGTAAGTAGAACTCCACGACGGACGAGAGTTAGCATTACCGTGTTGACTTTTTTCTGTCTTTTCCTCGGAGGAGTCACCCGTAAGTAGTGGTCGGTGCTCCGGGAAACTCATCGACGCTGCTTTCTATCGATCACGTCCCTGGCCTACTGTGTCCTCCGAATCGCCGGAGTTCCGCCGAGGCTCCGGTGAGCCATGAACTCGGAAATCTGTGACGCACAGAATTCGGCCTCATGCGGAATTTTCGGTCTGCAAAGGATCGCGTGTCTACGATGTGCCTGCGGACTGATTTTAATAGCGACATGGTACAAAAAAACAGAGGCCTTCGGAGTAGCATGAGAGCTCGTGCTCGAAGAGCTTCAGGGGTGTTGCTCTGGCTCGGGGAGCATCCGAGGCTCCTTTCTCTGATCATTTCTCCACAGCCTCGGATCAGGCGCAGAAATTGATTCCGTCTCTTTGGACTTCTCTCCAGCTCGATCTGATCACCGTCAGACGGAGAAATGTCGTCTACAGCCGGTTGGATATGACCGTCGTTGAGCTCTCAGAGACGATTCGAATGCGTGCAATTTAAATCAACGGTCAGCGGAATGAAGGCGGGATCTGGCTGACGTGTATGATTTAGGGGAAAAACTGCTTTCGAGAGCTTTCTATGTGACACTCGAAGGCCCCTAGACAGAATCTCGCGGATATTCGACTAATACTCTCGTGGATAGGCTCGGATTGGAGTCCATTCTTTCTCCGTTCGATCACAACATAGAGGCGTTTCTGGCTCACTGGCGACAGGTGAGCAGCAGCAGCAGCACCGCCGGCCACCAATACGAGCAGAATCATGTTAACGGATTTGATGGCGCCGGCTACCAGCGGCTGAAAGCGGCGCTCCGAAGTGGTCGATCCGAGCGTCCGGTCGCGTACATTAGTCATTCGGCGACTTGCATGCCGGCGGCGACGAGCTAGGGACCTGGAAGCACTTCCCCTGGTCATCTTCTGGAACAGAACACCGAAGGCAATCTGACGACACCTAGTCGGGCGTATGAGTCTCGATTTGTGTTCGCGTCATCCCGAACAGCCGAGCGTACTCCACCGCCAACTCCTTAGGGTTCCGCTCCGCTTTACTAGATTCGCACAATACACGAATACTCCTAGAGCTAGAAGCTGCGTCTTTCTCGCTTCTCCCGATATGTCCCGTTCGATTCATGGGGGGAAAACTTCGATTCGCTCACCCCGCCTCGTGCCCGTCCCTTCGGACTATTTCATCTCGCAACTGAGGCTGATCCTGGAAAGATTTTCCAACGGAAAAGGGAGAGTATATGTCAATGTTGATATTCATCGAGGCGTGATTCAGACGCGACGGTTTCGCCGGACGCGGCACACAAGTTGAGCGGTGAGTCATTTAAGGGACGACGGCTGCTGTACTGGAGCCTCTCTGTATAGTCTCGCCGAATGAAACGAGGAAAGAAAGCGATCATCAAGCGGGAAAGAAGAAAAACACGATCCCGATGGATGGGCGAATCGGACCTACCAGCGTTGCGTGATGCTTGCCCTCATAATCGGCTTTGACCGAGTTTGTTCCCATGGCCGGTCAGCCGATCAGTCCGCCGACGGGAACTTCACGAGCAGAGAAGTTGACCTGTCAGTAGAGCGCCGTTCCACAATTGATTCAACAGGCTGCGCGAAGTGCCGCGAGAATCTTGTCCACGCTCATCGCACGACACCGACGGTCCCTCTGGAGCTTATTCCGACGTGCCCTTCCGCATGATTGGTATTGGGAATGGAGACGGAAAGACATATGATGAGTTGCTCCCCCTTGTCGAAGAAACAGCGCGAGGGTCGCTGAGGTATTCGAAAAGAATAAGGAAACGATCTCGACATTCCGCTCGGCATCCGCCTTCGTATTCGACATCACATGGCCGGGCCGAATAACCCATTCAATGATTATTATCAAACGCCTCATCGTCAGCGTCCGCCGGTTTCGAGGTCACGTGATGATGTCAGGATAAACGGCTTCATTTGCTTAGATTATATCCACTCTAAGCGGCCGAGAGCCGCACGGTCGGTCTTACTACTGCCGGTGCCGGAAGAATATTTTTGGAGCAGAGTAAGGTACCTCTGGCTCCACTTTCTTCCCGAACAACACATGTATTCAATGGTTCGCGATGCTCGGACGAGAATGCCCCGGAACGCCTCAGCGCACGCTCTGAAATCAATTGTTGCTGATATCCTCTTACTCTTCGCCGTTCTTCCCCCGTGTCTGATAAGTGATAAGATCATATGGTGATCCCCGATCATCATTAGGTCTTCATTCGGATTCGCGCGTCTCGTGCGTCGAGTCAAGCCCAGACAGACGAAAATAGATCTTCACGATGGATCAATATCATGGGGATCCCTATGAGACCTTCCTTGGTGTGAACGCCCGCATTCAATCTCCGACTTCCGTGTCCAATATTATCAACTTGCTCCGTGCAGTTCTTGAATTCCTCTCCTGAAAATGATAACGGAATTCTCTCGCGTTTCAGGTGTTGGGAAAAGCAGTTTGCTGCTCCGATTTGCCGATAACACATTCTCTGGTAAGTTCTTCGAGTGTTCCAATACGGTGAAACAAGGTGCTATACATACTATTCGCATATCCTATTCGTTTGACCTGATACATTGGTCAGCGGATTCAAGACCCTTGTCCACCGACAGGTAATTACATCACCACCATAGGCGTGGACTTCAAAATCCGCACTATAGAGGTGGATGGGGAGCGTGTTAAACTTCAAATCTGGGACACGGCTGGCCAAGAACGCTTCAGGACGATCACATCAACGTATTACAGGTATGCTCAGAGACCCTCCCGGGAGGAGCTTCGATTCCGAGCGCTCCTGGCGATTGCTGGAACGAAATTTTCTGTTTGTTTTATGAGCGATGATCAATGGATATATTTTAGTGGGCTGAGCGGTCGCTGCCATAAGTCATGCTTTTCCCACAGGGGGACGCATGGTGTGATTGTAGTTTACGATGTTACGAATGGCGAGAGCTTCGCAAACGTCAAACGTTGGTTACACGAGATTGATCAGAACTGCGACGTGGTCAACCGAATACTCGGTATGTGACCGCATTACTTGGTCGGGTCACTCGGAGCTTTCACTGATCCGACTCATCCGATCCTGAGACTGATAAATATTTTTTTCAACACCTGGAGCACCTTCGATAAACTCAATGTTTGCCTATCACCTCCAGTTGGGAACAAAAACGATGACCCGCAGAGGAAGGTCGTGCTCACCGAAGACGCACAGGCGTTCGCCGATCGTATGAACATCGAGTTGTTCGAGACTTCCGCTAAAGACAACTTCAATGTCGAAGAGATGTTTAATGCAGTGACGAGGATGGTGCTCAAAACCAAAAAAGTAAGAATCGCCGAAAGATCCCGTCCCGGCGAAACATTCCGCTCGACGTTTCCCTTTTCTTCATTCCGTCAGCAGAGATATAATCTGTCATTGCTTTCCGCAGGAGGAACTTCGCGATAACCTGATGACATCGAAAAATGATAACGTCAGGTTACGGAAGAATCAGAAGGGCAAGAAAGGAAGCAAGTGCTGCTCTTAACCTACTGACAGTGTGAGCATCATCAGTACGAGCGGAAATTTCCAATTCAAACCAAGTCCATGTCACCTCTCGGAGCTCTTCGTGTCGGGACGCCCTCTCCGGAGTCCTCAATTTAATTGTCGTCTTGGAAGGGGAAGAATATTTATGGGAAAACGCAGGGATACGACACGGGCCACGAAGCTCCGGACCGACCTCGCGAGAGAAATCACACACCATATCCGCTCAGAACACATGGTCGTGGGCACGCATCATCGTAGAGATGTGGCGAATTCGAAAAAGCAAGCCTCCGTTTTCGGGCGAACAAATTAGCCAAACGAACACTGGTGCTCATTCGGAAAAAGCGGAGGACTGAAGAAAGTCGGGCGCAATTCACAGAATGTAGTAAAGGATCACGAGCTACGAGAGAAATTCCGGAGCGGATTTTATTCTTTCGAAATTTTGTGCAGATCGGTCTCTCGAGAAATTATCTCGTGACTCGAACAGGCGTTACTTTCTTCAATAGATCGATGTGAGCGAGTCAAATGTGTCTGCGAATACCTGAAACCTTACTGGTAGGGCGCTCTCCTTCACTGTGTTTTATGAATGATGTCGATGGCTCACTATTCAGCATGGGTCGTTCTCCTTGGGTCATTTCCTCCTCTAATCCGATCGATGCATCGGTCTCCGTGATGATTTCCACGAACAACTGACCTGGACGATTGTCCAGTACCGACCGTCGAAGTTCTCTCGAGTGGCTCGATAACTGCAGATAGAACATTTTTGCGAAAATACTCTCGCTCCTCACGGTATGCGCGTCGCGAGTTTTCCGCGCAACGGGAATATCGGGTCATCCCCAAAGTGGAGCATGGCAACCGTGAGCTGATTACGTAGGCTGGTCCTGAGGCTTGAAGGATGGCGGAACTCCCTCAGCAGCTTTGAGCCGCGGTAAGATTCCGGTCGGGTTTTCGGGAGAGATTTTGTCGTACGTTCCTCATAGGCAATGCTGTCATGACGACACTGGCGGGGGAGCTTATCATTAATGAGAACATCGTCTCATTCCAGCAGGGTCGACCGGCCGCATCGGCTTCGGCAAGTCTGTCATCGGAGGGATTTAGAAAACCCCGAAGCGACTGATGATCGGATTGAAATCGAAGATTCGTAACTGAGGGAACTTTTTCGGATCCTCGAGGGAAGTACCGGTTGATCAGGAGTAGACGTCGGCGTCGCCTCGAGATAGCCGAGGGATTCCCCCGATACGGAGCCCACGTGGAGTTCATCGGATTCCGATCACAGAAGCATTAGACTCTTGCCGCTCCAGCTGCGAATCGGTGCTGGTTCGAGACTACCGTAGACCTTCGGGTCCGACTGCACACCCATAGGACATGTTGTCTGAAAGTTGAGTTTGTTAGAGACTGAGATGGCGGCGATGACAACGATAAAGATAATGATGTCATAGGACGTACGTTAGCGACAGAAGTTCAATGGTATTATATCGCGCGAAGGTGTTACAAAAAGCCCATTTCAAAAAGGAATTCTTACGATATCTGCAATACTGCTGCACTGGAAAGATGGAATGAATCAAAGCAAAAGTAGGTAATGAACTCTGTTGAAACAGCTGTTTTCCTCCTCCCATTACTCGATTGGAGTTCTGCAGTTGTAGTTTTATTCCTTCTGGAAAGACGTTTTTAGGGCGATTCTCGACGATCGTTGTCGATGCACGTCGTAGATGAGGGCGGCGACGACGGAGGGAGCCCTACACTAGACAGAAGCTTACAACCCTATGTCGTTTGTTCGGAGCTAGAGCTAATGATTGAATATTGTCACGATTATCAACGTTTACTGGTGTCTCTATGAAACGATCATTGCCAATAAAGTGAGGGACACCGGTGTGCAAAGAAGTGTGTGAACGTGCGAAAAACTAAACGGGCATGAGAGTGAATGACCAAGAAAGATTGAGATAATAGAACCAGAGTTTCATATAATCGTGTACTCGGCCAAACCCGCCGTGGAGAGGCCTAACTCGAGGCTGTGACCGGGCTATTTCAATTGAAAATTCGACTAGTTGGAGAGGATTAGAGTCTTATTAAAGTCTACGAGTCGGCATGACTTTGCCGTCGAGGGAAATTACGTTGTTTTCTTTTCCGTAGGACAGCTTAACATGATGGATCTCGGATAAGCTTCTCGGGATGAGTGCATCAGTGCGTAGTATTCATTCCTCGAGGTTCCGGGGTGTGTGTCGATAGAGAGCGGCGCGATTGAGCATGGAAATCAAGGAATGGCGGAAATCAAGAAGACGTCTCAATCTCTGGTATTATTCAGTTCTAAGGAGAGGGTCGAATCATTATGCTAGCGACCAGCTTTCCGATAATGACGACAGCCGAGATACATCATCCTGTAGAGGCATAGAGTACCTAAGCAAAGGAGCGGGCTGTCCGGAGGATCCTCCAGCGGATTACCAAACGTTTCAATCATCTCGTTCATGACCGATAGCATCTCCTGCACGCGTGGGATTCCAGGACAAGCCTTGAGGAAGAGTCTGACATGAGGTAAATAAAGGGTCAGGTCACCATGGGGATAGGCCCAGACGTAGAGGGGGCAAAGTGATTTTCAGTTTGAGCTTCCGATGCGTGCACCATCCGACCGTCTTGCTTTCCCCACCTCGAAAATAGGGGAGACCACCCGTCAAGCAAATCTCTCGAATCCCAGAGCCGCCGTGGCATCCCTCTTCCATGAATCATCCTACGTGAGTTCATTGATGCGGTGAGGACCGAATGCGAGTCCTGGAAAAAGGTGCTCCATGAGCAGGAAGAGAAAACGAAACAGTAAGGGAGAAGGAAGAACGAAGTTCAAGAATATAATGTGAACATTGCTTCGCGTCCGCCTCCTCGACAATGTTCAACAGACGTGACGAGGGACACGTGGCGGATTCTATATCGACGACTCAGCTTCCCTTTTAACAAAGAATCTCTTCACCATCACGCGTCGTGGAGATCCAAATACGCTCCAGACTTCCGGGAGAGCCCTACCGGATTACAATATTTCGTCAATTCCTTCTCACAACGGAAGATGGTCTGTGACAAATGACGAAACAAAAATCCGCAGGGACTCGGGATCCGCGACGCGACGCTTCATTGAAACAGCTGGATTGTGCGATGAGCTTCGCTCACTGAGCTCCATGGCTTGGATTTCGGGAGGGGACAGGAGCTCAATGAGCCTGTAATAGATACAGGGGAAATTCTTCACACAGAGAGATACAAACAATGAGTGTCCAAGGGGGGCATTATCCTTTATCGTCAAAGTATTTCCCGATGCATCTCTCGGAGAAGTGGTCGTCGCCTCAATGAGACCCTTGGTTCTTCGAGCGTCTTGCTAACTATGCCACCCTCGACACTGATTTCCGATTAGGTTGTAGGTGTATACCTCCGTACCGTAGTCCAAATCGAGGTGTTCGAGCCAGATTCAGCCCTGGGAGTTTTTTTCATGCAGACGAAGACCACCCCAACCGATTCCATACGGACGGCTTCCCTCCTGATGATCAGTCGGGACATCGGTGGAGTTTACCGAACCTCGCATCAGAGACACAATGGAGCCGCCGCGTCACGGAACTGATGGGGGATTCTGCAGTCTTGGGAGCTGCGATTACGTCCAGGTGAACAACATCGGCGGGGCAACGTTTCTCCACCTCTAAAGCCAGCATTTTTTCCTCTTGTCTTTTGCAGAACAGTCGCTGCCTGAAGTGGAGTTCGCAATCTCTCTCAGTGGGGTCGAGAGCCCAAGATCGAATCGTTTCCGGATAGTTTCCGAATCGAGCGGAGTCTCCCCATTCAGCTCGTTTCCGAGTTCGACGCAAACTTATGAAATCCACGATTGAAGCGTGCGGGCTCCTACTTCCGGAAGCGACTTTACTGAACTCTCGTCGCGGGCCATGAGCAAGTAACGCGGCGGTCCTCCAGATTTCACGCGAAAACACCCCGAGATCGACGACCTCCGGGGCTTTTGCTCTCGGAAGTTGAGCTGAGGAGGCTGTCGGCACGGCACGGGGTAATCGACTCCGAACTTGAGGTCTGGCCGCACATGATTTGGGTATCGCCCGCAAGGTCGACCATTCCTCTCGCATGGAACCTTTCCGGCGGAAAGAAGTCATCCTCCAGTCTCGCCGTTCGTCGGATGCAATGGAGCAATCAATATATTCAGTAGGAAGATATTCAGTCGCGATCATGCAAACAGCTCCATGGCGACACTCGCAACGTTTTCTCCTAATTGAATCAGGCCCTGGTGGAGCACCGAGGCATCTCTTCCTGATCTAGATTCCTTTTGTGAATGTAACCTCTAAGTAGCCGCAAATTCTCTTTCGGTCGACTTCCTTCTCTTCGCTCGCCGCACAGCCTAGATCGCTTTCTGCTCTATCCGATTCACTTCAGCCTCCGCCTCAACGTAATCAGAAGCATTCACCCGCGTGTCTCTTTGTGGGTATCAGTGTGAACCCGGCGCATCCCGCACCCTGAGGAAGCTGGGGCCTCTATCAGGAACGACCACAACAGCTCCGAGCCTCCTGGGTATTCTTTGCAGCAGGGATGTTCGAGTGTTCTCCGCTGACCCGCACGCGGGGCTGTCGGCTCGAAAGATCCGCCCTGTCAGACTGGAGACGCAGTGGCGTACCCGAGGGGGGGGCCAAGGGGGCCATGGCCCCCCCAAAATTCTTTTTGCGTAATGCAGGAGTACAGGGTACCTCATCATTTTGGATCTCTGGCCCCCCGAAAACCTAGTCTGGCCCCCCCAAAAAAAAATCCTGGGAACGCCCCTGTGGAGACGGTATCCGTGCCTCACAGTATGTTAAAAAACGGAATTTCATGTTATGAGGGACTCATAACAAGGCAAGCTCCGCGTATCGAAAACTTTCGGGCCCGAAAGCGCGCAAGTGTCACACTCCGTACACGAGCTTCTTCCTCGCGCTAATGAATGAGCGGGGCTGTATGCATGGAAGGGACCTCAAGCAAATGGATTCACACTCCGGCAGGTGAGCTACGAGTCGCATGCAGAGGTCAGTGAGGGTGTGGCAAATTTTCCCATGTTTCTCCTCATTGTTTATCTCTCTTTGGTCTTGTTGTTTCAGAACGACTGCTCGCTCAGCCTGCCATCGACTAAAGGAGCTCATCCCGTATATTCGTCTAATTATTATCGGATTATTCGCCGGTATGCAGTCAGAATTTCGGTTGCTACACATTCTCGCCCTCGATCTTCTATATGGACTCATCGGGGGCAACTCGGAGGCACGGCAGCAAAGAGAGCCAATGAGCAAGGCTTGCAACGCGAATATTGGGAGATAGGTGGGTGTAGGGCGCCTCCGGACTTTTCAAGTCACGCAATATCCTCTCCGCGTGAGACCTTTCGACCTGGAAGAGGATGGAAATTCCTTCAGGGCTTCGATCAATTCCGCTGCTAGGTACCCCGTTAGGGAAGCTCCCATAAATATCGGAGTGTAAACCCAAAGATCCCAGCTTTGATATCCCAGGATACAGCTCATATTCGCTCCCTTGGGTCTGGCAATTTCCCTTCGCTTGAAAATATGAACGAATAATGATGTACGTCCATCTTGTTTGCTTAAAAAGTCGCCTGGGAAAAACGTTGGTAATGCAAAATAGCAGCTGAAATTGAGGAATGGAACTGATCTGACCTTAAATAGCCCTCAAGGATCAATCAGGGTCAGGAGGCTATTTTTCCGTAGATCGTAGTCGACGCGAAAGCAGCTCAAGGCCGAACAAGCCGACGATCGATGGAACTCGACCATCGGATATGTGTCATTTGAATTTGGCAAAAGGGAGTCC